CCCATCTTCTCCCAGCTCAAAACCAACTACCCTCTCGGTACCAAGCAATCCCAAAATCCTCAACAACTCTGTATCCTATAATTGCTTAGTTCCCACCTGTCTCAATAACTCATTAGTTATGGTGATCATACCGTCCGTTTTGGTCAGATCTGACATCTATAAATACCAAAGTTGGGCACTGCTCCTAGAACCAAAAAAATTGCCTTCTAGAGGTTTATTAAGCTCAAAATTTTCTCTCTCTCCCTCCTTTGTATTTTTGGAGAGTCGTAAGGCATCTTATAAGTGTGAAAGGCTACCAAAAAACGCCTAGTTTCTACTATTGAAGACCTAATAAAGTTCGATTAAGAAGTATTCCCACCAATCTTGTTCTCCATCTTCTACTTCTTTCTTTGTAAATATTGCTGTAACTAAAAAGGGATAACCATGTAGACGTCTTAGGGTAAATTGGGTAATTTAAGTTTAAAGCATGTAAAATAACCATTAATAAAGAGAACCAAATATTTAAATTATTATTCTCTATCGTGATAATTTTGTCATAGGGTACCAATTTAGGGCGTTGTAGGATGTCTAACACCTTCCCTATATGTAACCGACCCTCGAACCCACTTCTAACTATAATTAAGGATAAATCTAGATTCTGGACATTCCTTAATTGATATGATTTTCGAATAGGAAGTCAAAAGCAGATCAGAATTTTTCAGGTTCCTACAGTTATTAGTATTTTAACAAATACAATACATAAGTTAAATATTTAGTATATAATTAAAATTTAAAATAAATTACATATAAATAAATATTATGTTTGAATAAAAATAAATTATATTTTAAAATTTGTATAAACGAATATTTAAAATATAAAACTTATATTTTAGATTAATGATAGATAATTTATAAAATAACATAATATTATTTTAATTTATTGATGATTTATTTTAAAAATATTAAATTTTATTTAATAAATAATTATGATAAATAAAAATTAAATTAAATAAAAGATTAAATATTTTAAAAAAAATTGTTGAAAAAATTATAAAAAATTTCATATTTAATATATAAAAATTTATTAAAAGTTATATATATTCATTGAGGTAAAATAGCAACGATGAAAATAGTAAAACTAAATTAAAAAAAAACTCTTTTATTATTAATATTATTAATATAGAAATAAAAGTATTCAAGTAAAGAACTAAAGATTATTAGAATAAAAAAAAAAATGACAGCATGAAATGAAAAGAAAAAGTATGCGTGGTGTAAGTTATTAATGAAACAAAGGTTCCGTTTCTGAGAACACCATCGGCATTGGCATTGGCATTGGCATTGGCATTGGCATTGGCATTGGCATTGGCATTGCAGTTCCCCCACACTGCAGAATCAAGGAAGCATGAATTTGTCGAAGAGCCTTTCGCCATCTCCATCATCCCCCTCCTCCCCCTCTTCCTACATTCCGCCCCACCGTACCCAGCTGCACCCTCGCATGATCTCCCTCTACTCCCCGCACCCTAATCCCAAACCCCACACCACCAAATGCCTCCTCTTCTTCTTCGCCCTCCTCTTCTTCACCGCCCCCTTCCTCTTCTACCTCTTCTCCACCGCCCTCCAAATCCACTCCTCCCCCAAATTCTCCCACGCCCGCCCCGCCTTCTTCACCCTCGCCCTCCGCGCCGGCCCCGCCGCCCTCCGCCTCTCCGTCTTCCACTTCCTCGGCCCCGCCCTCCTAGCCGCCGCCCACTCCGCCTCCGCCGCCCCCGGCTTCGCCGCCGGCCCCCAGGCCCTCCGCGGCGCCGTCGCCGAGCTCCTCGACTTCGCCAAGGGGACCGTCCCGCCGCGGGACTGGAGCAACACCATTGTGCGCCTGGCTGCCACCGAGGAGCTGGAGGGGCTCGGCGCCGAGGAGGTCGAGAAGGTTCTGGAAAGTTGCAGAGAGGTTTTGAGGGTGTCCGGGTTCTTGTTCAAGGATGAATGGGCACACGTCGTTTCGGGTTAGTTGGGGCTTGCTTCAACTTACTTAAGAAAATGAGGAATGTTAGTGTATTTAAGTGTGGAGTATTCCTTACCTCATAAGCCGGGAGCTTTACAAGCTAGTTTTGTAAGATTGAGTCTACTCAATATAAGTTATTAAGAAAATGAGGAATGCTAGTGTATATGAATACTAGTACTTAAGAAAATGAGGAATGCTAGTGTATATAAATACAAGTACTTAAGAAAATGAGGAATGTTAGTGTATATAAGTGAGAAACATTGCGTATAAGCCAGTTTTGTAAAGTTGAGTCAGGTCAGAATTCCTATTGTTAAGACTCTTTCCTATTGAAAACTACAAAATGGAATGACATTCACTCAAGTTTTCTATAATAAATTTCAACTAAAAATAGAATGTCTGTTCAAAAGAATGTGTTGCTAGGATTTCTCGGGAGTAAAATATATACTAATTGTTGTTCTAAATTTGAGTGAAGAATTTTATTAAAATACAATTACACAAATGCTGAGTTTGTTGAGTTTTTTTAAAAGTCATACATAAGATCATTTCTAATTGATTGAGTGTAAAAATCTTTATAATAACAATGCATTACAATTAAACTCTATAAAGTGAAATAATATATTTATATTTTTTTTTATGTTTTTGGTTTTGACTAGGTTGTGAATGTTGATGTGATGCTTCTAGGGATGTGTTGCATAATGCAATTATAGTCTTGTAGATACTCGCTTCTTTCTATTCTTACTTTTTAAGAGATAATTAGTTCCTGAAAGTGGTGACTTGTATTGTTCTGATAGTATACACTCTTGTTATAAATTGTAGTTGCAATCAATAATCCTGCAAAAAATTTGTGAGAAAATGCAGCTACTACTGCGATTGTGATATGATTAACTAGACCTTAAAGCTGCAACATTGTGCTCTGGTAGTGGTTGAGGACAGCAATTTAGAACCATGACTACATACATGTCTCTATAAATTGATATTTGAGAGTTAGTTCGATAGGAAGTTTACCCTTCAAAGGTGTTAACTTGTAAACTATTTATCAACTCAATGGACTAGTTTGTGTAGATGTCACAGACCAAAGTAGTTTGCTTAGATTAGATGTCAGGGAACATAAGTTTCCACTTTTAGTGACCAAATTATGTTAACTCAGATTTTGAATGTTAATGTTTGCAGGAATTTGTGCTAGAATTTGTGATTCTGGTTCTCTCTTAAAATGAAATTATGGTCTTGTATAAATAGCTGTTTCATTTATGATTTTATTTGACATTAATATGTAATTTTGTCCTTGAAAGTGCACATCCATACAAATTGATCCCCGTAAATGTCAATTTGCTAATAAGTTTACTGTATCAAGTTTTTAATTTGTAAATAATAATTGTGTAGGCGATAACTTTTAGGATTAGAGCTAGAGCAGCACAAGTTACCTCTTTCATGAACCAAGTTGTATATTAAACTCCTTTATTTATGAATCAGGAAATAAATAATGGTTTTTGGAGCTGTTTGGCTTGTAATGTAGCTGGGTGTTCCTTTTGTCTTTCACAAGCCTATCAAAATTGAAATTGTTGGTTTTCGAGATTCATTATAATTAGGATTCTGTTCCAGAAATGTAGAAGACTTTGCTGCTCGGGTAAAATTTAAATTTGGCTGTGACTAGTTGGTGGTTTATATATTAGAGCTAAGGTGAGACTGTTGATCATTGACAGTTGTGATTCTTAGGATTTCATGTTTGGAGCTGTTAGCTTTACTGTGCTCTTGGGTGTTGCATATATGAAGGTGGTTTGTAGAGTTGGAGAAGGGATTCTATGTCTCTGGAAGGGTTACTAGAAAGGGTATGAATTGTTGAAGTCTGTTTCATTTAGCTAGTATTGTATGACGTGTTTGGCATTTAACAGACTAATTTCTTCTCAGCCATTGAATATTGTTTAGATCTATAACAAAATTTTCTGTCATGACACGAACTGTCTAAATGAGTTGCATTTACAGTCTTTGTATGACCAAATCTAGATCCTTGCCAACAGTCTGATTTAATTGTGTTGGAAGTAATTACCAAAGCATTAGGTACATTTTATATCTATCACGTCTTTGGAAAGAGTTGACAGTGATATATTTCATTCTGCGTATATGTACATCTAAAAATAGAAAACTAGTTGATATGTGTAAACAAGAATTTTTATGAGTATATTTTATATTTCAGGTGTAGTAAAGTATGGTTTTGCACTTTCCGAGTTCCTCCTTTCTCCTTGTGCCTGTCATTTGTATTTGATTGCACTTTACTTTTCTGTCATTAAAGAAGAATGTATATATAGAAGTGAAAGTACATATGAGGAGGATAAGGAATGATTCTAAGAAGTAAAGAAATTAAATGAAAGTGTGCAAAGGTAGCCCAGATAAACACGGATGCCACTATCAGTGAAAATTTTTCATTAAGTATCCATGAGCAGAATGCCAACAATATCTCACAAGACACAATCCTATCTAAGAAATTACATTACAGTGTCACTTATTAGTTATTACTACTGTCTCATGAAATATTTGGAAAAAAATAGTTTTACTGATTTTATACCTTTTGCTATTGATTTTGTTAGTGTGAAGTTATTCATGTCAATGATGAAATCTATAATTTAAATATAGGGGAAGAACAAGGCATCTCTTCCTGGGTTGCTGTAAATTATGTTCTTGGAAACTTGGGACGCGAGCCTCAAGAAACAACTGGAATAGTTGAACTTGGTGGGGCTTCTTTGCAGGTTTTTTCATTCACTATATATGACTACTTCATTCATAAACAGATAAATCCCCATGCAACAATTCTTATTTCTACATAGGAACATGTATCATTGTGGAGCTTTCTTTGTACACCTGTTGTTATTTACATTTATGTGATGTATCGATATTAATTGTTTCCCCCCCCCCTCTGTAATCTTGAATATTGGCCATAAGGAAAAGATCTTACTGGCTCAGGAACAAGTGGTCATGACCAGAATATTTAACAACTTAATCATTTTATGTTAGTTTTGCTTTCAAGGTTCCTGGGTTAAGGGTGTTCAATTTTTTTCTTTAGATGATATTGGGATTGGATTATAATCACGGTACATAACTTTTTCATGATTACATTGTTATTTTGATATTTGTTTGGTCCATAATCGTTTTCTTCCGTATTAGTGGACTGCAGTGAAACTTGAAGATGTCAATAATTCTTTTACCATAATCATTTAGAAAGAAAATTACTCCTACGTAACCTTTTCTTATCCTGGTTATACTGCTTGGTTTTGTTTGAAAGTATCTAGTTACTGTTAGTGTTTAGCTAGTTACTGGTATTGTGAGAAGCTTTAGTTACTTTGAAAATCATATTTTTATAGATTTGTAGCCAATTGCCATGTGTCACAAGCTTTATATATAAATCAAGGGTCACACATTCCCACAGTTGCATTCTTGATTTCTTTTTTGTTCTATGATGCATTGTGCCTTATCTGTTTTGGAGATATCTTAGTCTCCTTTTAGCTCAACTTTCCCCTTTTTATTCTATAATACCAAAAATTTGCTTCAGTATCCAAAAATAAATTATTCTTTTTGAACATATCTGGTCAATTTCTGAATGGATTTGAAGTTTATACTGATATTTGCGGTTACATCAGCTAATTTTAATGCAGATTTAACTCACACTTCAAGGACTATAAGATTGTCTGGGGTTACATACAACCTTCACACGTGGAATTGGCCACAACTGGGTCAGGTACCCTTTAGCTCTTTTCTGATGTCTGAAACCATTTAAATGTTTTTCAAATTTAACTGTTTTGAACAGTACATATTTGTATATGCTAGCAAATTTGTATTGAATTAGAAGAGAAAAATCATCGCAAAATAAGTGTCATGTTAGCTTTTCAATATAGTATTAATTACCTCTTTTCCAATTATACACCTAATAATGTTATATAGAAAGTGGTTGTTGTGTAGCATCAATTTTAACAAAGAAGATTAATTATAAGGTTAAATTTGTAAAATTGCTATTCTCTTTCTCTTAAGATAATTCCATAAGATATAGTTTAGATATACTGGTTTATCTTCTCCTGATTAATAGTTTAGTTTCCATAGTCAGATTTATCTTAATCCATAAACTTTAGGGTTGATTCTGTTACATGTCTATTTATTTGATTGTACCCATCAATTTAGAATAATAAGAAATTATTCAGATTCAAGTTGGTACCAGAGCTTTCTGGTCTAGGAACCCTAATCCAGCCACCACCTAGGCATCTAGGGTTTTTCGAATTTTGTCAGCGGTTGTCAAAGTTGACGCCGCCTGTGTGTTTAGAGGTCGCCGATTGGCCTCTCTGTCGCGAGCCACCTCTAGTCAATGTCTCACGCGCTCTCACGCACGGTTTTTGTTGGAGAGGCTCGCCGACGCGTGGGGTTCACGTGCCACCCTCCAGGCCTCCGTTTGCAATGCCGTTTGCTCTGTTGGACTTGTCGGCCCTCCCTCTTCTTGTTTTGACCCTTTTCAGGTTGTGGGTCACACTCTAGGTAGTCTCTTGGTGGTCGTTTGGTTGTTGCCTCGGAATTTTGTGGTTTTTTGGTTGCTGTCTCGGAGGCCTTTTGATTACAACTCTTGATTTGGAGGTGTTTTTGTTGTTTTTCTCCTTTTTCTCTTCATGGCAGAGATTTCCAAGTATAGCACACCTTCTAAGGAGAATCCAAAAGCTGAATCTTCCAAAAGGGGGCTAGTCTCTTTTGCCTTTTTTGGATAACCTACTATCACGTCTGAAAAGTTGAATAGTAAAAATTATTTGGATTGGTCCACTACTGTTGAGGTGTGGTTTTTAGGCTAGGATCTTTATGATCATCTTACTAAGAAGGCGTTTAAGGTTGATAAAGAGGTGAGAGATGAATGGCAGCGAGTAGATTATCAACTTGTATATCTATTGTGGCAGTCCATTGAGCCTAAACTAATGGTGCATTTTCGTCCATACAAGACATGCTATGGTATTTGGAAGAAGGCTCGAAATGTCTATGCCAATGATATTCAGAGATTGTATGTGTCTGTTCGTGGTCTGGCAACCCTTTGTATGGTTGATAATGATTTGTCATTGTATTTAAATCGTGCTCAATCCACTATTGATGAGCTCAAGCTAATGTTGGTTAGTGATGATCTTCAGCAAATGTTAAGCAAGGTTGATAATATGTTTATGTTGTTTATCCTTTATGGCCTTCACAAAGATTACGGATCTGTTCGAGATCAAATTTTGACAAATCCTGTCGTTCCTATAGTGGAAGAGCTCATAGATCGATTGATTCGAGTCCCTTCACTGGAGGCAGATCCTCTCACAGAATCTGAGTCCTTTGCTTTTATCTCTAGTATAGCTGATCGTGGAGGTCGAGAAGGTGGTTGAGGTCGTGGTCGTGGTAAATGGGGTAGAGGAAACCTCCATTTTACCTACTGCTAAAGAGATGGACATACACGAAACAAGTGTTATTCCTTGCATGACTTTTTGAGCAAGACAGCTAATGTGGCTGAATCTCCGACTTCGGCTCTAGAGGGCAATCATCCAATCGCATTATCTGCCAATGATTACTATTAGTGTATAAAATCAAAACAAAAAGAGAATATTTGTTTGTTAGTTCAACTGAAGGCAGCTTAATAGGCCCTTTCCTCTGTCACTGTTGCTCACATTGGTAATTCTACAGTCTGTCTCTCTCTCTCATTTTATGTCTATTGGACCTTAGGTTTTGGACTCTGGTGCTTCTAATCACCTAAATGGTAATGTCTCCCTTTTCCCTAGCCTATCATCACCTAAAACTCCACATTATACCACTCTTGCAGAGGGGTCAGAAGTCCAAGCCACTGGTATTGACCAAATATCACCTCTCCCTTCACTATCATTAAAATTTGTTTTACTAGTTCCTGGATGTCCCTTTAATTTGATTTTATAAGTAAGTTGACTCTATTACTAAATTGTGTCATAACCTTCACTTTTGATTCTTTCTTGATACAGGACCAGAATACGAGACAGACGATTGGAGCCGGGTTTGAATCACATGGTCTCTACTAACTTTAGCCTTCTACCTCTACCATATGTGTATCTATTGAGTCTCCTGGTTTAATCCATCGTCGCTTGGGTCATCCAAGCTTGAATAAATTAAAGAAAATGGTACCTCATCTATCACGGTTGGAGTCCTTAGAGTGAGTCGTCAATTAGGGAAGCATGTTAGAGCTTCTTTTCTTAATGGTATTAATAGTCGAGCTATGTCTACTTTTGATGTTATTCATTATGTTCCCTCTCTTTTAGGGCATAGGTATTATGTCACCTTTATTGATGATTTTTCTTGATGTACTCGGATATTTTTAATGAAAAATCGTTATGAGTTATTCAATATTTTCCAAAGTTTCTATTCGGAAATCAAAACTCAATTTGACAAAGTAATTTGGATTTTACGAAGTGACAATGCTAAAAAATATTTTTCAAATTGCTTCAAATCATTTATGGCTTCCCATGGCATTCTACAACAATCTAGTTGCTCTCATATACCTCAACAAAATGGTGTAGCTGAGCGAAAACATAGACATATTGTGGACATTGCTTGTACTCTTTTATTGAATGCCAATGCACCCCCAAAGTTGTGGGGCGATGCTGTCCTCATTGTAGGGTATTTAATAAATCGAATGTCATCATCTGTCTTGAATGATCAAGTACCTCATTCCCTATTATACCCATTGAATTCCCTTTACTTTGTTCATCCTCGTGTCTTTGGTTGTACTTTTTTTGTCCATGATCTTTTCTCAATATGTGCTAAGTTGTTTGCTCGGGCTATCAAATGTGTGTTCATAAGATATTCTCGTGTCCATAAGAGTTACCGTTGTTACTCTCCTGCTACGCATCGGTTTTACACCAGTGCAGATGTCACTTTCTTTGAAGATACACCATATTTCATTATTACAAATGTCTCTCCTGTTGACTCAAATCTCCTTTCTCAGGTATTGCTTATTCCTTATTTTGATCCTGGTGTACCTCCTACACTTGCTACTTTAGAGGCACCAAGATTCCTCCCACACTACCAGGGTCTGACCGTCCTCTACACCGATTTGGGATAACCTATGAGCATCGGTCACATGCTGTTGTTCCTCCCAGTGCTTCTACAATTGAGCCATGTGATCCTGCCCCCTGCTCCGATCTCCTCCTACTCCGACCCCACCTACCTCAGTTGACTTGCCCATTGCTCTTCGTAAAGGTAGCCGTTCTACTTGAATCCTCATCTTATTTATAACTTTCTTTCATATCATCGTTTGTCTCCTACCTATTATGCTTTTGTCTCTGCTATTTTCTCTATTACCATTTCCAAGACAGTGCAGAAGGCCTTAACCCATCTAGGATGGTGACAAGCAATGATTGATGAGATGATAGCTTTAGACTCCAACCACACTTGGGTACTTGTCCCACCTCCGATTGGAAAATTTATTGTTGGTTGTCGGTGAATATTTAATGTTAAAGTGGGTCCTGATGGACAGGTGGATAGATTGAAAGCTCGTCTTGTGGCTAAGGGATACACATAAGTATATAGTTTGGATTACAGTGACACTTTCTCTCCAGTTGCGAAGATGGCCTCAGTTTGTCTCTTCTTAGCCATGGCTGCTATGAGGCATTGGCCTTTGTTTCAATTAGACATCAAAAATGCCTTCATACATAGTGATTTGGAGGATGAGATTTATATGGAGTAACCTCCTGAGTTTGTTGCTCAAGGGGGGTCTGGTCTTGTGTGTAAATTATAGAAGTCCTTGTATGGCCTCAAACAATCACCTCGCACTTGGTTTGGTCGGTTTAGTAAAGTTATACAGGAATTTGGAATGATCCGCTACAAGGCAGACCACTCTGTCTTCTTTAGACGCTTATCGACACATAGATTTGTCTATCTTATTGTATGTAGATGATATTGTGATTAGAGGTGATGATCAGGAGGGCATCAAGGCTCTAAAGAAACACTTATTTAAACACTTTCAAACTAAGGATTTAGGTCCCCTACATTATTTCCTTGGGATTGAGGTTGCTTAGTCAAAGTTTGATATTGCTATTTCTTAGAGAAAATATGCCCTTGATATTCTAGAGGAGACCAAACTTACAGATTGTAAGTCAGTTGACACTCCCATGGATCCCAATGTGAAGCTTACGCCTAATCAGGGGGAGCCTTATCTTGACTGAGGGAGATATCGGAGTTTAGTGGGAAAATTGAATTATCTCACCATGACCAAACCTAATATATCCTTTCCTGTTAGTGTTGTAAGTCAGTTTCTTAACTCTCCCTATGAGAGTCATTGACATGCAATTGTTCGAATTCTTAGATACATCAAAAGATCACCAGGCAAAGGACTTGTTTACAATGATAAAGGACATACAAACATTGTTGGATATTCAGATGTAGATTGGGTAGGTGATGCAAGTGATAGACAATCAACATCAGGCTATTGTTTCTTAATGGGTGGTAATCTTGTCTCATGGAAGAGTAAAAAGCAAAGTGTTGTTGCACAAGTACAGAAGCAGAATACTGTGCTATGGCTCTCACCACATGTGAGCTCCTGTGGCTAAAATTCTTAATTCAAGAGTTGCAGTTTTGCAAGGTTGGTCATATGGAACTAGTTTGTGATAACCAATTAGCTTTATACCTCTCTTCTAATCCAGATTTTCATGAGAGAACAAAGCATATAGAAGTTGACTGCCATTTCATCAGAGAAAAGATCCTCTCCAGTATCATCAAGACCTCCTCAGTTTGCTCCAAGGATCAACTTGCCGATATCTTTACTAAATCTTTACGAGGTCCTAGGATAACATATATATGTAACAAGCTAGATACATGATATATATGCTCCAGCTTGAGGGGGAGTGTTAAGATAATTTTATAAGATATAGTTTAGATATACTAGTTTATCTTCTCTTGATTAATAGTTTAGTTTCCTTAGTCAGATTTATCTTAATCCCTAAACTTTAGGGATTGATTCTGTTACACGTCTATTTATTTGATTGTACCCATCAATTTAGAATAATAAGAAATTATTTAGATTCAAGTCTTTCATCTGTTTATTAACTTATGTTTATTTGTGGAAAATAACCTAGGACGACACTTATTATGAGACGGAGGATTGCCTTAGTAATGCTAGTGAAATTAAGTTTATAATTTATGTACTTTTTGGAATGGTACAAGTATATGCACTGTCAATAGTCATGTGTCCTCTAGCTCATTTTCCAATTTATGAAATCATTTATATGTTTTTCAAATTTCAATGTTTTCAGCATTGCATATTATGATGATTTCAAATACAAATTTATATAATTTTCGTTTACCTTACATATGCTAATTTCATGATTTATGTACTTTTTGGAAAAGTCAAGTATATGCATTGGTGTGAAATTATGAAACTAATTTGAATAGGGGCTGACATTTTTTAATTATTAATTGAGATCATGTAGTGCATTATAAGGTTCATAACCATAAATGTAAAACATCTAAAAATTTATGTTCTAATAATAAATCATTATTTAATCATTTTACATAAAATATAAATAGAATTCAAAAGGTATATTACTCTACAATATGCTCACATTGAGTGTTTTAGCTATTCTAGAACACTGCTACAAAGACAGATGTGGAAAGTGAAAATAAAGCAGTTTCCCCATAACTGGTGCACCAGGCAATAGAAGTTTTATTTGGCATGATTCCAACGAGTCTAGCCATGATGCCAGGCAGCCTTTCTTGATTCTTATACCCAAGTTAACCACCATTCACTTTCAATTTGAATTTTGAATTTTATGAATATTTTCTTGAATATTATACTCATTATCTAAGATACACATGGTCATGCAGTGTTAGGAACTTAAATGGAAATCAAAAAGTGAAATGGGAGCACAGATCTTATTACTTTGGATGAATTAAAACTGAACATATATGGAGAAGAACTCTCCTACAAGGGTTTCCTCCGTTAAAATGGAGCAATGCTTTGTTATTCTCAACTACTAGTCAATACTCTATCAGTTACAACAAATTCTACTATTTAACCATATAAATGGCAATCTACAAATAATTTTACAGAACTAAGTACTGGGTCCTTTCTCTTATTGGTTCCCTTTTTCGTATGAAAATAAACCTTCTAAACTGTCTCTTGGTGAGGCCTAATTGCAGTTTTTGGAGTTTACCTTTCTAACCTTATCTTTTATGGATTTATTTTATTTTGAAAGATGCTTTAAGGTTTGTTGTCCATGTTTTCTATTGTTACAACTATTTGTTTCAATCAAATTGTTTGGTGAAGTTATATATGCCATATTCTGTTGTAACTAAAATCTAAAATTCTTGTACAGGACGTGGTATGGAAATCATTAGAGGAGCAGCTGAAATATAGAGAGTTGAAGCTTTGTAAGTATTGAGATACTGGTTTTATTTGTTAATAAATATTTTTCTTGAGCAGTAAGAACTAACATGAGAAAATATATTGTTTCCTCTTTAACTAATGACTCAACAAGCCACTACATTGAGTACTCCTATCCTCTATCATATAACTTGATTTATATTTTATACTAAGCTAATCACATATTAGCATACTAGTATATACATAGACACAATATAACCAAATCAAGGGACCTATATACATACAATCATCCAAAAAAAAAATCCCCGATACAACCAAGCAGCACAAAGGTTCCCCCGTGGGGTTACAAAATTCCCAAAACATGTACAAAACATAAGCGAAACTAAACTCCTATGTCGGTTGATGACTATACACCTTCAAAAAACATCTTTAAAGTCAATACCATCAAAAGCCTTCGCACAACCACCAGCTGCTCCCAAACACCTACTCCTGCTCTATTCCCATATCAAAGACATGATCATTGTAGTCAAACACACAAAATAAGGTAAGCTCGAGATAAAAGGATTCATCACTTCAAGAACAACAATGATATATAAGCATCATCACACATGAAAATATTTCTTTTTACATCGACAATAGTCCACACATCACATTGAAATCAAAACACAACTCAACATTAGGTTACACCAACAATCAACTATCTCAAAGAATTCACCAATACGACAATGTAAATGCATTATCCTGAACACAACCACATCAACATTATGCGTTGTCACACATACAACTCTATGGAGATCTCCTAAAAATGAGCAGCTTATTCAACTCCACTCTACTGGACCATCCTCGCATTGCCTCTTAGACTTTGTTGATATAAACTAGGAAGACTCTTAGTCAGGAATAACTAAGCTTGGATATAAGCCTACCAATGCATCAGGTAGTAGGACCTTTGCAAAATATGGAATTAGCACACCCTTAAATCCTCCAAATCCAACGCACCCTTCCTACACTAGGTTGGGGGTTCCCTAGGCAATCCACAACTTACTACCTACTAAACTAAGTTGGGATTTTCCTTGGCAATCCATCAACCCATTGTATCCCTTTAAGCACAAGCATGAAGCAACTCACTTCATATTGTTTTCTCAAATCAAAGCACTAGGTTAGGATTCCCCCTACAATCCACAACTTACATGCCCAATCAACTGGGTTGGGATTCTCCTTGGCAATCCATCAACCCATCATAGCCCTTTAAATACTGGTATGAAATGACTCTTTTCATACTGTTTTCTCAAATCCGATTTAAAGGAGATGATTTTAGTCTAATAACAATGAGATCCACTTAAGAAGGCAACTCTTCATTGAAGGGAGTTTTATCAAAGAGCTCCAAGCTCTACAACAGGGATCCACAACATGGTATCCCACAACTTAAACGGTTTTCAACAAAATGCTTCTAATAGCCAACTTTTCTCCTTTAAACCATCTTTAAAAACATAAAACTAACTATTGCTACAATCAACATCAACACCACAATCAATTATGAAGGCATTTCCTCCCATCATTCAACATCATTATCATTCATGTAAACAACCAACATCTACTTCCTTCATTCACATCATTAATACAATTATGTATAATTAAAAGAAATAGAAACACAAATGCATGCAAGACTTTGGCTAAGTGAGCAAGTTTTGGCTGAGCCAAATACTCAAATAGGAGAGCTGGGTGAGCAAGATAGTTCTGGTTGAGCTCCATGGTTTTTATATAGATGATGATGATGAGTTCAGTTTGCTATTCAATTGATATGCTGGTTTCTAGCATTTAATTGTGCATATAGAATAAACTTTAATTAGAATAAAGTTGGTGTTCATTGGATAATTATATTTTGTTTAGGATGTGTAAGTTCTAAAGAAAAATACCATTATGCTTAGTTTATTATACTCTAGTGATTACTGATAGTTTTTGTTTGTTGATTTTTCAGCTTCAAAATTTAGCGAAAGTAATATAATTAATCCTTGCATTCCTAGAGGGTATGATCATCCTTGGATCTCTAATTCAAGTTATGTAAATCACTCAATCTTCCAACCAGCTGGAAATTTCTCAACATGCAAATCTGAAGCTCTATCATTGTTAAAGAGAGCAGAAGGTTACATAATCTTTTGATATTTTACTGATTTAGCATAAATTTGATCATGTTTTCTCCTCTTTTTTTCTTCTTTTAAATGTTTTTTAACATGACCCTCTGCTTTGTGAATTAATTGAGCCTTGTATTGTTAGATGAATGTTGATACTTTTTTTGCTAGTAGATTCTTCCTTAAAGGAGTGCTAGCAATGAACTCTAACACACTCAACAAACACCCTTTTATTGGTTAAAATTTATTAAAAACTTCAAAATCAAGGGAGAGTATCATTATTAAGTAGTGAGACCCACAAAAAATTGTGATTTTCAATAAATTTCAAACCAATAGTAGTGTGTTGGAGAGTGTGTTGCTGACATTTCTTTTCTTCCATATGTTAATAGTTTTCAATTCTGGTCCAGTTTTGAGGAAGACACTTGGTTAAGAACTTAACAAGGCCTGCAAACTGTCCTATTCATGACCATATGTATTATGAGTAATATCTAGTTTGGGTAAAGGGCAATGCAAATATTCTTATATAATTACATTTTTACTTGTGCTTTTGTGACAGTGTCATATATAAAGCTAGATGATAGATAGTTTAGACTGGCTGTGCTGAAGAATCTTTTGTTGAACCATGGGTATGTCCACAATGTATGTTTATGACTTGCTTTAGGGGTTTTGGAAAAGGAAAAGAAACATCTTGGGAAGAACTGCGATGCTTATTGCGCCAAGCTATGAAACACCGATACTTCAATTTGCTTCACGTATCCGTATCCGATACGTATCCGACACGATACTCTTGGATACTTCACCGATACGTGTCAATGAAGTATCCTAACTTTTGAAAATATTATGAAAATTTTATTCAATCTCGATACTCTCAGATACTTCACCGATACTTATCGGTGATACATATCGATAAAGTATTCAAATTTTTGAAAAATTATGAAATATTCTTTACAACTAAATAAGATATATAAACATTTTTAATATAGAAACATAGAAATATTGGTCCTTGATAAACTGTAAATGAAAATTGTCTTCTACTTCTACATAGATAATTTTAAGAAAGGAATGAAATTTGATAATATTATTTCCATTTGTAAATAATAAAAAGTAATTTATGATGAAATGGTTTATAATTATTTTTAGTAATGTACAATAAGTATATTTTTAATTTGAATTTGCAAAATAGTAATTATATATTTAATGTTTATGAATTTTGATCAAAATTACAAGTACAAAATTATTATGTTGTATGAACATTGATATATATGACAACACGTATCTTACAAGTATCGTATCCTATATATTTTAAAATAAGCGTATCGCCGTATCGGATACGTGTCGTATCTGATACGCGTATCGTATCGGTACATCGTAGATGGGCAACCTTCTTTTTAGAAAAATTTAGAAATAGAGCATGATTTTTAGTTTAATTAGGATTGTTTCGCCAAGTAATTTAGCATCGATGGTCAACTCAAATTGCTGAAACATTAAAGTATAGTTATCTAGCATTTTAAGTATAGACAGTCTTTCTGGCTTGTGGTAAGCTGCATTTTAATTTATCCAACTCTGCAAAGCCTGTTATTTGGCATTTTTCTTTTACTGTTTTTTCCTTTTGCCTTCTGTGAACTAGGAAGGTGTTTTATTCTCTTATTTACATGACATTTATTTTAAATATATTCACAAATGGTGTTTGCTCTTTATACAGATAGAGATAAATGCTTGCATCCACCTTGTAAAATCACTTCATCCTTTTATGAGTTATTAGGCGAACAAGTTTCTTCAGAAAGCTTCTTGTTTACTTCTGAGGTTCGTAACCAGTGACAGTACTTTGGCTTTATATGGTCTATTTTAGTACTACTACTATTATTTTATAATTATTATTATCTCTTAAGTTAGGATTGTAGAAGTGGATGGTTAGCTGTTCCGTGCCCCTTTTTTTCTAAAGTAAAGCTATATTAAAAGTTTAAAACACAAAAGGCTGTTGTCCTTTGTTACAGATTGTACTCAATATACTATCATTTTTTCAGATTTGGTCAAACATTTTTATATAATCTGTCTGACTGTTTAACCTAGCCAAAAGATACATTATCTACCCTGTTCAAAAAGGATTTGGTCAAAAAGCAGAATGCAGTAGCTACCCATCTTCAAGTTGGACAATAAGGATTGGAGAAGGGAAATTTCTCACTGTTCAAAAGGTGGAATGTATTAGCTAGTAGCTGGATCCCTGGGAACCACAAGAATCTGTAATTAGAAAATGTTATTCAAACTCGGCACTTTTTGAGATTTAGACTACCGTTGCTAGATGCAACCATTCATTCATCTTGTCAAATTTGAACCTATTTAAGATTTCAGTCTTGTTAATATAAACAAAAACCACAATAACCAAGATTGTACATGTGATTTGATTTACACTGCTTCACCACACACATGCAGGCTGAAGCACTTGAGATGTTTGGGGCTTAAGCTAATATAACAAGATTGTTTTTTTTTTTTCCTCTAGGGTTGTCTTTTGCTTGTTTAAATTAGAAGTTTCTTGGGCAGATAAAATGTGGTATGAAAAGGCATTTTTGCATCAAGTTTTTATGCTTGTGTTTTCTTTGTTCGTCTTATTTTTAAGGAAAAAGGAAACACCACCTTTTTTTTTTTTTACAATTTTTTTAGTACAGCGAGATACACAAATATAAAGGAAAAAGAAAGATAAAGACTATTATGACTGGTTATTAGAACTCAGTCAAACAGCACTTATTAGGCTTCTGGGGATTCTGAATTGATGTCAGCTTAAGTTGCTTCTTGTTGGAACACAAGAGAAACCCCCTTTACCTTGTTTTTCTTCTTCAAGAGGTTTATAACATGTTATGTTCTTGTGTGAACATTCTGATCAATGGAGTTCACATACTCCAAAATTTCAATGTATGTGTGTCGATTGCATATCTGACATTCATGTGCATGATTTTCCTAGATACATATCCAGGGAGTATCCGCTATCTCTTAACTGGCAGAAAATTCTGGATACAGTGCCATAATGATACGTCTTACCTTAGATATGGAGTAACCATGTAAAAGGACATCTTAATTTTTTTAATTAAAGCAACTGTGTCAATATCCCCCAACGTTTCTTCCCTCCTCTTTTACATGTTGCTATTGCCTTGCATGACACTTGTAACATGTTTATAGTAGAAATGATGTATTCTGATTTGGGTGAGGAAAAGATATGTATCCAAGCTTTTTTTATAATAATCACAAGTATCTCTGTATATTGTGATCATCTACTAATATGGTTAATGGTAATGTATATATCACTGTAATTGTTGCATTGTACTGATGTCATATTTAGTATGGGGGCTTCATAGGTTCTAGGTAAGGGATTTATGTAAGTGGTATTTCTAGACATTAGTATGAAATTTATGTCTAATATTTGAAAATGGAGTACTGTGCATACCAAACGTTGCTTCTTACCCATATCCTTGTTTTGCATTGGCACCACTCTTTTCATTGTTTAATGGGGAAAAATATAAAAGCTTCATCTCTGACCATATTTATGCCTTATTTAATCTGTCAGATTCTTAGGATGGCTCCTAGGACTTCTTTGTTTGAATTGGAGGCAGAAGGCCGACATTACTGTGAAGATCATTGGGATGCTCTCAAAGATCAGCATAATGAAATTGATTATCTGGATTTATTGCAGTATTGTTTCTCTTCTGCATATATGTTGGCACTATTGCATGATGTTCTTGGGATTTCTATGGAAGAGAAAAGGTATTGCTTTCGTATAAGAAAAATTATATGAAACTGACTGAGACCATGGACAGTGTTAATGTGACTAACCTCTAAAGCCAAGATAAATAAATAAAAAAGTTTAAGGATGTTAGTGCATTGTTACAATTACAAATATAAGAAAAATTATATGAAAAATCGAGTTAATGGACTTGGACGTGTATATGTTTTGATATTTCATTGTCTTTCTTTCATTTATTTTATTGTTTGGAATTTTTTAAACTAGAAGTAGGGTTTCCCTTCTGTTTTCAGTTTTTTCTTCTGTTTTTTACACAAGCGCATGCTAGGTTGCTAGTATATTAATTTGTAGCTGTGAATTAAATGAAATGAAAAGAAAACTGACCACTATACAATTGAAAAAATATAATGATCTTTCCACGTGTAGTGTAAGTAATCTGTTATCATAAATACTTTCTTCCTTGTGTTTAGTAGATAAGCCAAGCTGTATTTTGAAGTCATTATTGAATTTGCTTCCACTGTTTGATACTCGGTAATCTTTTGATTTACCTCCTCAATCCTTCATGGAGCGAAACAAGTATTGAGCTAATACTTATCTGCAGGGTTGGATTTGGGAACCAGAAGATTAACAGTCATGTTGATTGGACGCTTGGATCTTTCATAATTGAAACAATGGCAGAACCCCTTGAATCCGAACATATAAATACAGGGATGATTGTTGGGACTGAATCAGTCACGTATTTTTCATTATTTGCATTTGTTTTCTTAATCATTCTTGCTGCATTTTTTGTAATGCAATGGAGAAAGCCACAACTGAAGACGGTATATGACCTTGAGAAGGGACGCTATATTGTTACGCGTCTACCCAGGTGATACTGTTACCTCCTGCCTATAATTTGTTCATTCAATTTTCCCCATTTGTGAAGAACATTCAAGCAGATGTGCCTCCCATGTTCATCCAAAATATCTCAAAGTGAAAGTCTAAGCTCCAGAGAAACGTTGATGTTTACTCAGCAGATTACAGTAATATAAGCAAAATATTCTACGAATAGAAGGGACCATTCTCTGGAAAATGTGGAGCTAGCTTATTGATTTTTGGCTGTTTCATGATTGTAATTTTTTCTCCTCCTTTATGGTTTTGTCTTCCAGATGTTGGAGAGGGAAGGTGAAAGAGAAGCCTTAAAATCTGCAGATTATATATGTAATCAAAGGGGAAGTTGTAGTTAGATGGTTATGATCAATTTGATAGTTAATTATATTTTATCTAGTGTATATGTCGCACCGTGTCCTATTAATTTTATTATTATTATTATTATCATTTCATGGAATTATATTTATTTTTCTCTCTCAAATTCTGGAATTTGGATTCACTCCAGCAATTTTCTCTCTCCAGCCTCTCTCCTGCAATATTAATAGCAATGAGATATATTCAATAGCTCAAATTTAATCTTATAATTAATGTAATTTCTTAAGTGATTAAATTTGAGCCATTAGATATATTTAATGACTATTAATGTTACAGGAGAGAGGCTGGAGAGAGAAAATTGCAGGAGAGGATCCAGTCAGCAAATTCTGTCTTTGGGCTCTTGCAATGTTTTCCTGCAGGGGCAAGAGGACATAAATAGTAAATACTACCATTGTAAAATATGTAGTTGGAAAGCACTTAAATACTGCCATGGAAAATGTGTAGCTCGTAAACATTTTTATTGGTTCAATAAAATACTCATACCCTAATTTGATGATTATTTTTATTGATGCAAAAATGATTTAGTATTTTATGCCGTAAAATAATTCATCTTTAATTTTTAAGTCATTTTTATTATCAATGTTATAACTTGCGGAATCAAATTTAGCATACCCTAAATTATATTTAGTTAAAAGGGTAATATGTATAGAATCTTTTATAACATGCATTTTCTTATGCTTTATTTAAGAAATTTAAAATTTTATGGACTAAGTCAATCTAATATAGGGTCAAATTGAGCATGGTAAAACAAAAGAAATCTCATTAAATAAATCAAGAGTTATGTTAAACACTGTTGAACACAATACAAGTTTAAACGACAGAGCATAGAGCATAACATAAGCTTTCCTCTACAAATTTGTATTCTAGCTTTTGCTCTTAGTAGATTTATGTGACGTTCTGACTTGCTTTTTCAATTTTTTTTTTGTCCAGCACACTTTCTCAACTACAGTATTTTCCTATCAACATATTTTCGTCGTTTACTCTTATGCAGTCCTCAAAATTTTTATATCCTATGCTTCAAACAAATTTGAAGGTGAAAATGGGATTTAATGTATTTATATATGATTTAATACATCAACGAGTCTATGGGCTTTCTGAAAATTTTTAATTAAGCTTTTAAACAAATAAAATTGTAATTAGTTATTGATCCTTTAGAATTTTTATAATTTGAGTTAGTAAAATTGTCACAACTAATTACTTTTGTATAAGTTTTAAACCGGTCACATTAGCTAAAGAATCTCAATTATAAAAAAAATATAAAACATCAAGGATCACATCATAATTTTTTTAGGTTTAGAAACTTAATTAATTTTTTTTAAGAGTTCAGAAACCAGCCTTCATATTTATATTTGTGTAAAGCTTAAAGCACAAAGTATATCCAAGTTTTTTACTAGGTAGTTATAAAATCTATCTTAAGAAATGAGTAGTTGACCTAATACTTCTAGAATTAATTACTAAAGTATGAAAATAATATTTAATTATCGAAAATCACATTTTATAAACACAAATTAGTTTATAATTGTTAATTTAAAAATACTATATAGATCATGTCCATAATATATATATATATAT